CCCCACATAAGATGCAGATGACCAGGAAGATAGCGCTGGGGAGGGCAACCTGTTACACCCTCACAGCTCCAAAACTGGCTGGGGCCTTGCTCAAGCCAAGAACAGGGAACACAGATCATTTGCTGCCCCTGGTCCCAGCCCAGCCAAGCAGCAGCTCTTGTGGCAATGGCAGCTTCAGCATAGCCCCAGAGGCAGGGCCAGAGCAGCTACCAGCATTAAGTGGCTGGGCTAGGGCCCAAGGCAGCACGTGCTACATGCTCCCTGCCCTGGCCAGAGCTGCAAGAGGGAGGTGGGGGACACCAGCTGCAGCACTGACTAGGGTTCAGAGTTGAAGCTGCAGCCACTGCCTCCTTCCCAAACTTACTTGAACCCAAGATGAGGGGCTTCCCCGCCACGTTCAATGAGGGAATCACAGAACCATTGAGAAGGAGAGTTGAAAAGGATGGCCGACAGTCTTTTAGTCCAACTTCCTGCCTGAGGCAGGATCGTCCCTATCTAAACAATCCCAATACAAACCATCATCTAAACTCCATAAGACTACTATCAAGCCTGACTCAACACAGACCTAACAGCCCAACCTGCCACAAGAAAAGCAGGGGGAACCAGGGCAGCCAACATCCTGGCTCTATGAAATGTTGTCAATATATGCTCAAGAGGCCCTAGATAGAGAGCAATGCCACCCCACCCCCCACCCAACCTCCACTACAGAGGAAGGCAAAAACCCCCGCAGTCTGTGCCAATCTGACCACTGGATAAAATTCTTTTCTGACCCTAAATATGGTGATTGGTCTGACCCTGAGGGGCAATACCCTCCTGCCAGGAACCTCTGGCTTTGCTTTCAGTGGGAGCATTGACACACCCCACTTGAAGTCCCTCTTGGTTGCAGCCAACACCCTATGCCCCTGAGGAAGGCTTAAAAACATCCTGACACACACAGGGGGAAAAAAGGGAGGGGAGGAGGAGGGGAGAAGGGAAGAAACAACCAGCAAAGCCCAGAGACATGGGAAATACCCATAGTAGAACACTGGAATAGCTATGCCTAACTCATCCCTGACCAGTGGCCGTCCCACCTCTTCTTGAACACCTCCAATGACAGAGTCCACAACTTCCCTAGACCGTCTATTCCACTTCCTCACTATTCTCACAGTGAAGAAGTTTTTCTAGATATCCAATCTAAACTTACTTTACGGCAACTTCAAGCCATTGGTCTACATCCTCTTCTCTGCAAGAGAGAAAAGGTGCTTTCCCTCTTCTTTTTGGCATTCCCTCCTCTTTATGACAGCCCTTCAAGTATTTGAAGGCTGATAGCATGTCCCTTCTTAAGCTCCTTTTCCACAAGCTGAGCATACCTAGCTCCTTCAGCCTCTCCTCATGTGACTTTCCTTCCAAATCCTTGATCATCTTTGTTACACCACAAGAACCTGCGCACCAAATACTCACACCAGGACCCTTTGTACATGCATGCACATATGCATACAGTTTGCTGTTCCCTAGCTTCCTCCTTGAATGAACTCTCTAAGCAAACTCCTTCTGTTCACACAAAGTTCATTAGAGTCTGCCTTTTTATAGTGGAAAAAACCTCATCTTGGATTTCAGTAAATGCAATATGTTGCCTTGCAGGGATTACAGACGAGATGATCCCCAGAGGTTGCAAGGAATGGTGTGACAGAATGTCTAACTCATGCAGAATCAGGAATGTACAAGGTGAGTGCAAATGAAGTTAGGATCTCCTTCTTCTTGATCTTTAAATTGTATCCTGCACTTCTAGAGACAGAGCACGAGATCCTATCCTATGTATATAGATGAAGGAAAAAATATTCCTGCCTTCTGTTTTGTTTACAGTTACCCTAAGCAAATCTTTTTTTTTTCTTTCTTTTGTTAATGCTGGGATTTAAAAATAAAATTAAAATAACCTGAAAATCCAGTACATCCAAAATCACTAATACTTTACTTCTCCAACATCGAAGTGTTTTTTAATGCAAATTTTCTCATCTTCCTTCAAACATTCAACTACCATTAACATCCTTTCATGTTTACCTTCTTGACCTATCAGCAAGACTGGTTCAGGCAAACCAGATAAACCTGCAGCTACAGTGAGCCCCCAGGTCATAGCAGTTCAACCCATTTGAGTCAGGTAGAAACAACAGTATGATGGCTACTGATTGCATTTTTGGGGTATAGAGTACAAGTTGCTTTGTGACAACTTTCACATGAGAGTGGCTAATGGCACAATACCCATTTTCATCTCATGCCTAACAAAAAGAGTTTCCTTTACAAATATACATCAGCTGTGGGCACATCAATATTTCATCTCCACAACTTGCCTTTACTGTAATTGGGAGCATCACTACTACTTAAAACTGGATGGAAACACAGGAATCAGAGGAATATTCAAGGAGAAAGTGACTACATAAAAATCTTATTTTACCTGATCTTTGGCAAATAAAGAGCATAGCAGATTAAGACTCACTGGACACGTCCACATATCCAGGTATGTGCGTTAGCAGCAGCTCAAATAGCAGCAGCACAAATTTGTGCCAGAGATTTGTGCCTCAGCACACGTGCATGAACATGCACTTCGGTGTAGGACAAACCGGGCCACTTGGAGCGAACTGACCCTGCCCAGCTCCTCTCAGATCTTCAGTCAGGGGGAGCTAGAGGCTGAGGCCAGCACTTGTGCTAGCCCCTGCAGTCCAAAAAGCTGCCCTGGCGAGCAGCTCAGGGCTACTTGCTCTCAGGAGCTTCTGACACCCAGCCACCTGGTATCTGGGGACACTAGCCCCTGTCAGCTGGACTGCTGCAGCATCCCTGATCTAGAGTGGCCCTTGCCCCTCTACCCACTGCAGCAGTCTGGCAGTGGGGGCTACTGCCTAGCTGTGACCTGCTGCCACCTGAGACAGCATTTGTCCCCTTGGACCTGAGGCCCCATGACTGCGTGCCTGCCAAACCCAGATGGGGACCACACAGTTTGGGCTGTGGTATAGGCACAGCAGCAGAGCCACCTGCACCTCTGAGCCAGCTGCCAGTGGGCTGTGGCTGCACAGTTGGCCTTCATGCAGCACTGCTGTCATGTCTTCAAGTGCCCCTGTCCTGCCATCTGAGCAGCTATCACCCAGAAGATGTGCTCATTGTAGTGGTCTGTTTTGAACTACTGAAATGTGTCCTCCTGACCCCAAATAGCCAGGAGATCAGCTGCCTTGTCCACCCTCCACCTGGGGTCCCCATTGCTGGCCCTGGGCTGGGCACGCCTCTTCCCTTCCAGGCCAGCCTTCCCCTGCACAGTCTGCTCTATGGGGCAGGGGGCCTCCAAGCCCAGCTCTAGTGGCCACTTCTCCCTCCCCCGACATCTCTCCTTCTCTCTCACACACCCCGCTGCTGCCCATCACATAAGTACATAGACCCTACTGCCACCTCAATCCCTGCCCCCCCGCCCATTGCCCACCTCCACCCCTTCCTCCCTGCTGCTACTGCTAGGGGCTGTGCACCATGGGGAAGGGGGAGAGGGGCATGTGGCAGGAGCCTCCCTCCACTACTCCTTCACACACATCCCCCCCCCCCCCCCCCATAATCCCAAACCCTTCATCAGTGCTGCATGATTCCTGTTGCTGCAGCCAATGCACAAGTGATCCACTCCCACCTCTGCCACACAAACCCCACTTCTGGCACTGCTGTGCCCAGAAGGTCCACCCACCCCTTCCAGTACATGGGCAACAAGCTCACAGGGCCCACTCCCTCTGAGCTTACCTATGTCAAAGACCCAGGCTGCTGCAGGAGCAGGAGTAATGAGGGAAACAGCAGTCGGGTAGTATCCTGAGGCTGAACGTTAACCCCTCATGGGCTGGATGCAGCCCAGAGGCTACCAGTCAGACAATCCTAATATAAAGTATTTGCTGGTCATTCTGAAATACATTAACTTCCCTGAACAACCAAGAATATTATACTTCTACATAAAATCATCTGAATGAGAGAAATGAAGCAACAGTCATGTAAATCTTTGTGACCATACTGCTAACTTCCCCTACATTTCATTTCTCCCACTGCCTATGACATAGAATCCTGGAACCACATTTTAGGATGTCATGAAATAACAAAGTAGAAAGAGTCTCCTTTTAACCTCCTAGTAGACTGCAGAAGGAAGAGAACAACACATAAATAAAGACAAAGTACTATGTATTCCTTTAAAAATGACTATAATAAGATTAATCCTGATGAATTAATTCAGCATGAGGAGAGAGATGAAATTTCAGTCCTATATTTACCTGAATTGAAAACAACCAAATTTAAGACAATACCCTAATAATTAGATTCTATACCTGGAACATTATAAATGTGTTAAATCTTAAATTAATTTTCCCCCACCCCACAAGGCAAGAGCAGAGGGGTAAGTGGGAGGGAAAGCAGCAGCAAGGGAAAAGGCAGTCTGAACCTTGCCCCTTGCCCCCACCAAGCCACTTGCCTCCCCCAGGTGCTTATGCCCCTTGCACCTTCCCCCCCACTGGTGCCTGCTCCACCAGGTCACTTGTCCCCACTGTCTGCCACCACTTACTCTATGCAGCAGCTCTGGGTCCAGCTCCATCCCTGATGAGGTAACAAAAATGGCAGCAGTTTTGGCCCTGGGCTGAAGCCAAAGCCACACAGCAGCTCCCCTGTCCCTGAGTGGTCTCCCCCATACTCCCCCCACTCTGCACCATGTGGTCTCCCCTGGGTTGGGCCTAGAGCCATGGACAGAGCAGGTGTCTACCCTGGGCTGCTACTTAAATCTAAGACATGGCTTCCCCCCATTCCCATGTTGAATGGGGAGAATGAACTTCATCTTGGATTCAAGTAAATACAGTACTTCTACAAGAGTGTAACTAATTCAAGTTTTAATTATTTAAAACAATTACTTTGACATTATCTAGAGAGAAAAAAATTGCACATATAAATTATAATCAGAAATAAAACACATGAGATTTGCTATTTTCTCAATTAGTTTACTAACGTTTCTGGTTTAAACCAACCTTTTTGTTGCTGGAGATACAGTTTCCTTCCTGGTTCCTGATGGGGAAGGTAGAGAGCCACTTGGTTTCTTTGGTAACACAGTTCCATTATTAACAGTTGTCCTTAAAGGCAGTGTTTGTACCAGGGGTCTTGCTGTAAGACAAGCAGATGATGAAGTCACAGTCTACACTGAAATGTATACACTGTATAACTGCAGACATCTTTATAACTGCAGACAACAAAAATGTAACATACTTCAAAAATACCTCTAAAATGTGTTTCCTTTGTTTCATTATGCCGGGGACTTAAAACTTACAATGGATAAATTAACTAAATCTGCAGCATAGGCTTATTATTAAAAGGAAGTAATCTTGCAAGAAAGTATGAGTTTGAATTCAAACTGAATATAAACAAAACTATCAAAAAGTTCAGCTTGAATAATATATTGCATTCAGATAAGTCTTATTACAATGAACCTACTGTTCTAGAATTCTGGAATTCTATTTGCTAAATCTCTCATGTAAGAGGTAAATCCTTTTTTATCATCAAAGATATTCCTAATGACATCTGTAAAGTAACCTTGGTACTGCTTAGGGGCTCAATTCTGCAACCTTTTTCACATGGTAGGAATGCTACTTGACTACTTGCATGTGAAAGTGCAAAAATAACTACACCTGTCAGCCCACTACCCTAAATTAGACCACTCTTCAAAAATACAAATCCATATCCCACATTGATGGAGTTCAACAGAATGCCAGAAAGGAGAGCAGGAAGCCTTTTTAAACTCTTTCACAAAGATGCTATTAGTTAGTACTTAGGTAGCCAAACTCCCCAAGGCCTATAGTTTTTATTTTAAAAAGCACGCTTTCAAGAAATATAAGGCTTCACATCTGACATTTCAGAAAACAAGAAAATACATAGTTTTAAAGTGAGGAAGTGCTTGAAATAACAGAATTGTGATATAATCAGTTGAGATGATCCATTTATATCATCCTAGCCAAAAACAGTCTCCTAAAATTCTATTATGTACACACCACATGCATAATTAATTTTGATACAGTTTTATAAGAAGTTTCATTCAAATATACTACATATTAGTTGCAAAAAATCAAACAATGTTCAGTTGTGAATAATAGAAACTTGAGGGGTAAGTATGGTTGTAATACAGTTAGTGAAAATATTTAAAACAGGATCTTTTAACTCCACAGTTATTGTACCGGATTCTGTTTGTTTCTATAAATACTTAGTCAGTTCATAGATAGAAATTTTCTGCACAAGTTTTTCAACTTCTTTTCCCAGATGTACATGGCAGGATGAGCAGTTTCTGGGATGAGGCATAAAATTCCTCAGATCCCAGCTGCACGACTGTCAGAGCCAAATGGTGCCCTGGAACTGTCCTGATCCACATCCTGGGGAATCGAGCAGGGTGAGGTCGTTTCCCTGGCCCTGGTTTAAGTTGTGGGGCTGTCTCCGCCTGATATCAACTATCAGCTGATTCACCTTAACATCTCTGTCACTATCTTGTTCAATTTAAGGCGTCATACATGTAAGCATGTACCCCAGACCTGGAGCCGATTGTTAGCATCTGGACTAGGGAAGCTCTGGATCCTGGGTCAAGACACAGGGCTGCCCCCAGTCTGGCAGCTGCAGCAATGTGCTTCCATGCCAAAATTTGAAGACTGTGGTCTTTCCTTATTAAGTCTTTGACTAGGGTCTACATCTTCCTGGATGCATCCACATGAGACATTTACTGCACAGCTGCCTAATTAGCTCTGCAGTAAAGTCTCAGCGTCTACATATGTGGCCCTATTAGGCCACAGTAAACTAATTAACTCAATTATATATCAGTGCACCTCTATTTCATAAATTTGTGTGCTCATTTCAGTCAATTCCACATACAGAAACCTATTTCAAGCATAAAAGCTGGCACTGACTGCACTTTACAAAAAGAGGTAGTTATGCAAATTTAGGAATGCAAGGTAAGCAAGTTTCTCAGATATTAAGAATAATGGGTTTTATTTACACTGTAAAATGCACATTAACACATAATAATAATGCTAAAATATAAATCTCTTCAGAACAAAATCCATTTATCTACCTCAGCAAGGAAGTACTGTTTTGTAGCCATCATGTAATAATCACTGGCCTGAAAATATATGGTTACCTAACTTCCATTTGGCCATATTAATTCTCACAAAATTCAGTTTTTATCAGCCTAAATTCCTTTTGTAGTTTCCAAAAGATGTCCTATTGTGTTTTAAACTTATATACAGTAGTGTTAATATGTAACAGTCTACATATTAACTATACCCTGTATACTACCTCCCAGATAACTTCAATTTAATATTGGGGAATACAATTCTAAATATAACTTACTTCTTTCACAAGGTCTTGAGAGGCTCTAAGAATATGAACAAGTTATTTTAAAAGCTAAATGCTCAAACAAGCAACTAAAATATTTAAATAAAAATATTTTTACTTCACATACTAGATACATACATACAAATATAAACCCATTAAAATGCTGGAATGAGTTGACTAATTAGCATTAATCTTCTTCTCTGGATGTAATTAGAATTATGCACTGATATAGCATAAAGGTTTCGTTTCAAACCAAGCACCAAGGATGTATGCTTCTGAAGCAGGAGAATCCAAGTTAGAACTAATCCGACTGTCTCTAGAAATAGAGACAGGTAGTAGTTAACTGTTAGTCTGAAGTCAGATAAAGGTTCAAAGAGACATGCGCTTGTGTAGGTGACAGCCTACTTCACCACTCCATTCATGGCTTCCAACAAAGTAGACTGTTGCATACAAAAGCTTATGCCTCTCTATACTACTTAGTCCCTAATTTGCCATTCGGCCCCACTTCTGTCTCTATGAAGTTAGAATGGCAATAAAATGTAGCAAAGCAACAACCTACTGATAGAATTCTGTGATGCATTATTAACACTTTTTAAATTAATTAATCTGTTATTTACTTTGTGGCTGTTCAGTTTTTATTTATGATAGAAACCTGTTGTGTTTCTCAGAATAAGTCCTGCTTTATGCGGGTTCTGTACGTGCGAATTCACTCTTATGCGATGACCCTTTTTATACCAAAAATTTGTTATATGCAGGGTAAATTCACTCTTATGCTATTGGTATGGTGGAAGCTCGCAGTCAGCTGCTTTGTGCAGTGTATTGTGGGAGTGATGGGCACCAAAATAGTCTTCTGTGTGGGTCTGTGCTCCTCACTCATTGTCTGCAACACGTGTTTCTGTAGTTGCCATCCCCATCATGATACTGCCCTGTGCTTCTGTGTACTGTCTGCTGTTGATGAGTACCAAAATTGTCTTGTAAAAGTGGCAGAAATGGGCCTGGGGGTCAGTATAGTCAAGGTCTTGGAACATATCCCTATTTGTTACATTGCAAAGTGGGTTCCCTTTAAGCGAATTTGAGTTATGTGCTATTTTCCAGGAATGCATGTACAGCATAAAGCGATGGAAACCTATATTGATAAAATTAAAACAGTAAAAGAACTTCAAACATGTCAGTACTGGTATTAGAAGCGGTGAATGTCAGTAACTTCATCGTTCATCACTGTTCTGTCAGTTGTTATATTTATTTAGCAAGTTTGGTTGCTCAAGGGTCTTACCTGTGGTAACAGCACTGAAATGTTTATCAGGCTCAGCAGCAGCTTTTTTAATCACACTCTGATCTATGGATTAATAGTGCTATTAAGATAACAAACAAACCAATAGCAAGAGGAAAGAACAACAAACAAAAGTAGGAAAAGTAGGAAGCCATTCTGAATGGCATATAGTGGGCAAAAGAAAAATAAAAAGAGCCATTAGTAAATGAGCTCCATAAATGGGCAAGGCAAGTAAGTCAAGTTCCCCTATATGTACTTAATTCATCTTAGCCTTAAAACTGGGAATTGTTAAGCTTTAAAGGAATATAAATTAGCTACTGGGCCATGAGGAAATTCAGGTAGTGAATAGAGTATTGCTGTCTCATACTGAGCTGGGATGTTGTTCTACTGCAGGTGGGCTTTCATATGAATTGTTAAGCACTTAAATGTAACAAGGTATACTGAACTTGAAATACTGAATGGCATATTTCAGGGTTTTTGCACCACAGTGTTTGAGATCCAAGTTCAACTTTTTGGCTTACAGTTCTGCATCTGAAGGGTAAAATGTCAGTAAAGGGGAAATAGTCCAAGTCTCACTCAACATTAATGGAAAGATGTTAAGAGTGTGTGGTTCCATGTCTGGTGTCTCTAGTCAAATTCATTCCCATGATGGTCTTTGTTAGTCGCCACAGCGTTCAATTATAATGCTGAACTTAAAACTGCTCCTATGAATAAACCGAATTACAGTCTAATGTTAAAAAATTATTAAATATTTTTATGCTGGCACCTGGACTGAGCAGATTCTTTTTCAAAATTAGATTTATCTATTATTTATGAGGAAAGTGTATCAGCAGCCCAAATTTTGTATTTTGGCAGACCTGCTCAAAACAACAAATTATTAATATGCTTTCTAGTCTACTTTTTCTCTCCTCAGAGATATTTAAACTATACAAAGGAGACCTATGGTTAGTGTCTGAAGTGAAATAGGACTGTAAAAATAAGAAATGATTTATATTAGTGTTCTTGGGCACACCTATTTCTGGAAATTAGTGGGAAACCACTTTAAAGCAAACTGCTAATACTATCAAAGCTTATTACAGTAAACTGATGGCCAAATAACTTAAAGCCATTCGTTTGCAGGAAGTGGTACAACCTCTTAGAGCAGCAGTTTCCATTTTTTTCACATTGGGCGCATCTACACGTGCCAATTTAAGGTGCTTTAGCCCAATTTAAGGTGCATTGAGGGCAGGCGTCTACGTGTGTGCGCCCTTAATGTACCATAAAAATGGCGATTTTAGGCTATTCGTGCCTGAATTTGATACCTGAAAAAGCAGGTATCAAATGTAGGTGCAAATAGCTAAAACACATTAACACATGTGTAGACACATCAAGGCACATTAACGCTGTGTATGGACTGACATGGGATTAACTTTAGTCCCACATCAGTCCGTGCACATGGTGTTAATGCGCTTTAACACGTGCACATGTAGATGTGAGCCTGAATCACCTTAATGCACATTAAGCTAATGCACATTAAATTTAGGCGCGCCTAAATGCACATGTAGACATGCCCATTGTGACCCAACTTCTGGGCCTGCAACTTCACTTCTGGTCTGAACCTGATTACTGTGACTGGGGTTGTGACCCCCTGGTAAGTGCCATAATTCGTTTGAAGTCATAACCCCTCCTAGTTTGGGGACTTCTATATTAGAGAACATCCACAATTAAAGCAGCGGCATCTACTAAACGAAGGTCCAACTCTGCTCACATTAACTTCAATGGAAGTAGAAATGGCCCCATATATTTCCTAAACTGACATACAACCCAAGGATAAGATCTTATCTGATTGCTTGATTTCACAGTACTTATTGGGCTTTCCCTCAACACTTTAAAGAACAGCTAATCTAAATGTTATATAAAGCAACTTACTCCCTCAAAAAATTACAAGAATACAGCAGTTTATTTTTTTTTAATGAGAAAGCTACCCAACAGAAACATTTATTTGGTCAGTCTTTACTGTGAAAGAAATGAGGCCAAGAACAGAAAAGAAAATGAAACACCAAGTATTGTGGATACCTATGGAATCTGCCATCCAACAACTAATGTGATTTACAACCCATTAATTTAGCTCCATAATCACCCCTAACCTTCCCCTACAAATGCACAAATTAAAAGAGGAACCAAGACCCCAAATCAGCATATAGTTAAGCTCTTGTTTAACAGTTTTGCTGAATCAGTGTCTGAAAATAAATGACTCGCACAAGGTTGCATTGAATTTCTGCGACTGATCTGGGTGAAAAGTGCAGGTTCTCATCTTCAACTCTGTGACTTCAGACCAGATAGAAACAGTTCTGGTAGGCAATGAATCAGTAATTTGGTGGAATATAGGTGCCAAATTCACAAAAAAGCAATCCAGACAGACCCCATCAGCTTTGCTGCCAGACAGACCCACAAAGCAGCTTTGGTGCCTGGAATCATCAGGCATATACATCATGATCCAAAAAATGGCCCATACTTAGCTTTGTGCTCATGCTCACAAGCAACTGACCTCTGGAAACTAAGAGCATCTTTACACATGCTCCAAGGGTCCAAGGTTGGGGGGGAGAGAGGGGGAGGCACTTTAATTAAAGTGGCTCTTGGAAACTGCTCTAATTAAAGCGCCTGCAGTACAGAGCCAACCCAAGCAGGGTGCGGCACCAAAACAATCTGTGCGAGGCCCCACCCCTGCTCCGATCCTGCACGCCCCAGATCCAAAAAACCTGCCACAGCCATTGGCAGCAGTGGTGGCAGGGGGGGAGCAAGAAGCTGGCAGCAGCCACTCCGCCCAGCTCCACGGGGTCCCCCAAAGGTCGCCCTGATTTGCACCCCTACAGGGACGGCCCTGCCACAGTGTCTCACGTATTTAATGTCCCATGATTCAAAATGGTGGCAGGGGTACTTTAACTAAAACTCGTTTGATGAGCTTTAACTAAAGCGCCCCACTGCCATTTTGAAGTGCAAGGACACTGAATACATATGACACTGAGGCTGCTAGAGCGTGCTAATCAGAACAGGTCAAAGCAGGTGATGGGCATGTGTACAGGTGCCCTAAGTACCTAACTCCCACTTAAACTTTGTTGGGATCTTGTTCAATCCTGAGAGGCCCCCAAAGCCAAAGTCCTCAGTCTGTTCAGCATTCATGTAACACAATTCCAGATTGACACTGATAGTAGCATAAAGTTCAGTACAATGCACTGTTCTAAGGCAAATTTCACTCTTGAACACCTTGGTGCCCACCTTTGCACAGCTCTCTTAGGAAGTGGAACACCTAGATTCTAGGCCCCACTTAGCCAGAGGAACTCAAACCCATATTCTGAATTTCCCAAGAGAGGTTATAAAATATACTCTGGGTGTTCTACCCCTCCTGTTGGAGCTAGACTACTAGGTAGCCAAGAGCACAAAATTCCTGGGGACACATTTTCTGGTGATGACACTCTCCTGGGCTCTGGTCCCCTCTACCTGGGTTATTTGGGTTTTATTTTTAACTAATGACTGTCTAGTACAAATTGTATAAGCGTATGCATGTTCTCTATTGCTAGCTGTTCTACTGCTCCATGAATCTTATACTCTTGGCTGCCTTCAACAGCAAGGGTGGAAGCTATCCTATATTCTAGTAGTCAGGGCTCTCTTCTAGGAAAGGACACTGAGGAGGGCCTAAAACCCAGGTTTCTCACTTCATGGATGAGTGTTATAACCAACAGATACCACCTATGTTTGAGAGAGAAAGTGATCCTGGGTGCAGAGCATTGCACCAAACAATCCTGCTTATACTGAATCTATGCATTGGTCAGGTAGACATCTCCACTCTATGCTCCTGGATCCCAAGTTGATGAAAGTAGCTAACACTCATTTCTGTCATGTGCCTGTGCTCTGAAGAAAAGCAGGACTTCAGACACTGCTGTGCCTTGTGTTCTTATTGGCTGCTTTTAGGAGCCTCCTCTCTCTGTGGATCACCGGGGAGGTAACTAACTGTCACCAATGACTGCATGGGGATCCGAGGTATCAAAATCAATTAATTAATTTTGTGACCATTGTGCAAATATAATATCAATGATGATGGTGTTAGAGAAATTACAGGTCACAAGTAATCTGGTAGAACCTACAATGAGCACACTTCCTCTTTGGGTCTCAGAGAGGGAGAATGACTCTCATGGTCACACAGGATGTCAATGGCAGGATCTTTACACCCTACTAACCTACTAACAAGGTACCAACATTGCAGGCATTTTAACACCTTAGCAGAAGCTCCTACAAAAACAAATGTAAACGGGGCTCTTAGTTAAAAGGCTATAAAATGTATAATTTCCTTTAATGGGATTAAACATTAAAATTTGTAATTGATATAATCTATATCACAAAATTTAGAAATTATAGAGCTTGTGACTTTAACCATATTTTGCACATCTAGCTTGCCACAATTATTTCTACCAAGACAATACACTCATTTTTGAAGATACTGAAAAAGGTGAAAATTTGCCATGCTTTCACAGCAAGAAAATCTGGCAAGACCGCACTGCATCACTCTGGTCCCATTCAAACTTCATTATCTGTGAGGTATTGGGCATTCAACTTAATTTCTTTGATTTACCTTTGAATAAACTGACATTACCCTCAGCAGCTGCAGTAGTAGTGTAACTGTGATTGTCCTGGGAACATGAAAGAAACAGGACAGGGTTGACAATATCTTTTACTAGACCAACAATATACCTAGTAAAGATGTATTACAAGCTTTTGGGAATACAATGCCATTCTTCAAGTTATTTAAGGAACTCACCTGAGGAAGAAAATAATTGTGCCCCAAAGCTCATCTAACATTTCTCTCAACAATAACACTGGTTCAATAAAAGATATTACCAAACAAATCCAGCTTCTCATATTATCTGAACAACAGGAATTAAACTACAGAATACTCCATGATGCCTAAGACAACTTTATCAGCTAATTAACTTTGTCCTTGTTATATGTATTGCCACAATGCTCAGAAAGTAGAGCTTTGACCAGGTAGAAATGATCCAATCCTTGAGGATCTTACAGTGTATTTTTTTCCAAAAGACAACGAATAGTAGCCATGGGAAAATTTAGAGCATGGATTTAAAAGTAAGGATGTGCAGATATTTGACAGGTCAGGTAAACTTTAGAACTGCTACGCCAAGCATTTTTTTGGTTATTTGAATGTTCCATTTTGGTTATAAATTGTGCTTACATTTTTATTTTTGAATTTTGCTTGTTTATCTTGAGATAATAAATATCTATAAATGATCACTTCTTAATCATGTTTTACATAGATTTCAAATGCATACCTTTGGTAGGTCCTTTCTTGTTTTGCATGGCCTGTTGCTCCTCTGTAATATTCAAACGTCGAACTACATCAGCCAGAGCAGACTTGAGCAGCTGGATATCGTCTTCCTGCATTTGGACACGCTGCTCCAGAGAAGCAATGCGGTCTGTTACCTCCATACTGCTTGCAGCAGAGGCACTGTCATCTAAACAAAACAGTAAGAAAAACATGGAATCTTAAAACACATCAAAAATACAAAATATCTACATTATCTGGAAATGAGGCCTTTTCTGTTGAATTCTAGTAAGGAAAGTTTTGAAATGCAGAGAATGAAGGAGAAAAAAAAAAAGGAGTAAGAGTCAGCCTCTTAAAATTAGAACTTTACTTCCAAGACTCATTTTTTGTTGATCAAACACCCACTGCCAACTACCCAAGCATTCTCCCTTTGCATTATAACTTAGCCCCACATCTCATTGTGTTCCGCTTTATAAAAACACTTCAGTATTATCAGTGCCCAAAATACTAGCTATTTATTGGTATTGTTTTGTATACCACACGTATCTAAAAAAAGGCCATTTTCCACTTTACTGAAATCTCCCATATTACCCACACATATGTTGGGTTCCTGCAAGCAGTTCTGCTTATGAGTAACCTATATTGTATGAGAAGAGTCCTAACTGACTATGCACGCACACACTGAAAGGAATGAGTTTTAAGTCTGTCAGTTTATGGTTGTTGTACATATTTCTTTGGAAGTAACCAGGACTGAGTGAGGCTTAGGGACTGCACTTCACTGGCAGGAAATCTGTTCTCTTTTCACCTCAGAGCAGTAAACAGAGTTATTTTGGACTGTATTCCTATTTTTCTATTCCACTCCATTTCCTATTGAATAGGAACGTCACACTTCCTTTTACAAATTATTGACTTTTTCATTTATGTAAGAAAAAATAAAACAGTAATATTGGATAAAAGATAGCACAAAGTTGCACTAAAAGGTAAAGCAAAAAGTTGGTGACTTTCTCGGAAGAACTGCAAGTAAAATATATTTTCAAATAATTCCAGTAAAAGATTAGCTACTCCTAGTCTTACTGTATCACTTTAAGTGATATCATTCAGTGATGACTACATCAAAAAAGACTTATTTACAAAATATTCTTACATACTGGTACTATCATTTACCCTCAGTAAAATCATTCAGAAAAATCATTAATTTGGGAGCCTTTTGAAAAGTCCTTGATGTAACACAGTTTCTGCTTTAAATGATTTCATTTACGTAGAAAGTAAGTCATCTTTATTTTTTGTCAGAATGGGTATTTATGACAGTAGATGTTAGCATATCCTGTTGTTTTCAATTATTCTAAATACCCATTCACTACATATATTGTTTCATCTGACACTCCTAGTCTCACATTTTCCTTTTCCTGTTGTCTGTGCATTTAATTTTCCCTGTACTTCAAACCAGAACCTTTCTTTTCAGATGTAAAAAAGTAGGAAATGAAAGTTATATTGTCTGTACATTAGGATAATTAACATCTATGTAGATTTATTTATGAGGTTTCTATCCCACCCCCCAAAAAAGAGGGTTAGGTAATCTTACAATAAAAGTTAGATAAATGATAAAATCAGATAACAATATGTAAAGGAACAAACTTTTAAGACAATGCTCCTAAACTTGACCCTGCCTAATGAAGGGTCACCCAAATTTAAAAAAAAAAGTGTTATGCCTTTGACAGATGCCCAGGCTTGGATTCAGAGGCCGTTTGTACATGTCACAGGGGTTTACTTTGGTTTACTTCTCCTTAAATTGAAGTGGTGAGTTTTTAAAAATAGCACTTCAATTTAGGATGGAGTAAACCCCTGTGGTGTGTACACAAGGGTCAGGCCCGATCCTTACCCGTCTCTCTGGCAGCAGAAAGTGAGGGCAAGCTGCCGGGGGGGAAGAGCTGGTGCTTCCCTCCATGGCAGCAGCGGTGCCTCCAAGCGATACCAGCCTACAGAGACCTGGCCCAGGTGGTCCTGCAGCCATGGAGGGAAGCCCTGGGCCCCCGCACAGCTCAGGCAGGCAGGGTCCGGGAGGGGGGGAAGATCAGGCTTGCCGCTATTTTTTTTTTTTCCTGTCAATGAAGCCTGCCTGCACAGGCTGCTGCCGGGCTACCTGCACAGCCCTGAGCTGCATGGGGCCCAGTGCTTCCCTCCTCAGCTGTAAGGTAACAAACTGAAACACCTCTGACATGTTTTATTTTGCTGTGTCCCAAAGTTATTTAACGTGCATTGCACTGCCATGTGTAAACAGCTGCACTGTTAAAGCTGTGCAATAGGGCATTAAGCCACTTTAAAGGCCAGTTTTGTGGTGCGTACAAATGGCCTGACAGACCACGAGGGGGAGGGCATCCCAGAGCTGTGAAACAACTTCTAAGAACCACCTTCTACATGTTTTCACCAAACAAATTTGGTCCACAGATGGTATCTGCAGGTTGGACTTGGTATAATTTAGGGACCATGATAGAACATATGGGAGAAGGCAGCCCCTTAGGCATATAGAGTCAAGTCCATTTAGAGTCATATTGGTTAAAAACAGCACCTTGAGTTGTTCCTGGAATGCTAATGGAAGTCAGGGCAAACTCAGGAGCACTGAACTAGTGTGTGCCTGGTGACCCACCCTTGCCAGAAGGCAGCCAGCCATGGTCTGTACTAGCTGCAGCTTCTGGACAGTCCTCAAGGGCAATCCTATGTAGAGCACACTGTGGTAGTCTAGCCTTGGGGTTGCAAAGGCATAGATGATGGTGGCCAAACCTGGATTTGAAAGGAAGTGTTGCAACCTTCTCACCAGATGGAACATGTGAAAAGTGCTTCTAGCCACCATCACAACCCAAGAATTCAGGTGCAGCAAAAGATCCAAGGTTGGGCATGCGTATAACAAGGGCAGGCTGAAACCCAATGATAGGTTTCAAGTCAGGAGCTCTGTCAACCACCATCACCTCTGGATTTAATTTAATTGGTTCATCTGCATCCAATCACCAACCATAGCCAGGTAGTGGGTAAGAACTGAGACTGCAGAGCCTGGGTCAGATTTAAAAAAAAAAAGGCAGAGCTGGGTTTCATCAGCTTACTAACCGTAACCTCACTCCAAATTTCATCACGACCTAACCCAGAAGCCTCAGACACATGACAAACAGGAGAGGCAACAAAATGGAACTTGTTGAATTTTTTTTAATGTGAATATACTGGGACAAATTACTGTTATTTAAATATACTTTAAAATGTCAGGAGATATATCCAAAACATCATATAACTACTAGTTTTCAGTCAGAGAATACCAAGGAAAGAAAAAAGAAAAAAATAGGTAACTGGGGGGGTCGGGTGGTGGCCGGGCCTGTGGCCAGTAGCCCCGAAACGGCAGGCGGGTACTTTTACCGATGGAGCGGAATTAGGCACTGAAGCGTACTGGCTGAACAAAGAGATTGTTTACTTACGCCGTCGGTGTATACAGCGTATGAAGAGTTGACTAGCTTAGTTGCAGTTACAAACGCAGAAAAGACACTCTCAAAGACGCGAGAGAAACGAGATGAGATGAGAAGAAATTTCTGTAACTGGCTTACGGCGGTACCGGGGTCGGGGGTACGTCGGGACAGTCGAGGACGGGGAGTCGTTGGTGGGTGATCAGTCCGCCAAGTTCACTCCGAGATGTGCGCGGAGTTCTCCGACTTGGGCGGAAACTGCTTTAACTTTTATATGACTAACAAGCCAATCACTAGTCGCCAAATATGAATAATTTGGAACTGGCCAATGGTGGTGTGCGTGTTTGCATAAAGCTGGCGGGAACTTTTCACTGCACCGGGGTTTTCTACCGCGGCGGAAAATTCCACTGTGGCGGGAAACCCCACAGCGTTATGGACATCAAATCAATGAAACCTTCCACTGTGACATAGGCACTCAACTCATTTGGTTATGACAGTAACAAAAGCTAATGTAAAATTGGTAAAATTTATTTGCCCCCAAAGGCCCGTAATAAATTTTGTTTTCCAAGTTTGTTCATACCTAAATCCAGTCCATAGCTGTTAAAAATGATGAGTTACAAACAACTCATACTATAGTCAAAATAATAAGACAGCCCTTATAACAGTGGGCTAGTGGACACTGTTGCAACAGTTTGCCATCCAGACACATTACTTTTTAAATTCTGTTGCATGGGTTTTTTAGAATCAATTTAAAATGCCTGTATTAAAATATTATTTGTAAAGTTATGTTCAGTTACTGAAAAAGCCGAAATTTAAACATCAACTTTTGACAAACTGAAACACCTCTAGATCTCTTAACCCATGCTAAAAGTTTTCCCATGACAAAATCCATTTTTTCCCCTAAGCTTGGCATAATCACAACTGTGTTCAGCAATAGATTTCTATACTGCAGCTGCTACAGGTAATTAATCCCAAAAATAAGATTAGCAGACATCTTGGCAGTAGTATGAGCTGTCTGTAGAATTTAACCTTTCCTTGTACAGACAAAGGGCCCATGCTGCTCTAACGACTTTACACTTTAACTCAGCTGGAAATAACATGGATTAGCATACTGGACAACAGACAACCAAATCAAAAGCTTGATTTAACCAATACAAACCAAAATCAACCTTCTAGCATTCTGCCAGATTCAGTATGGCATGATATGGTTTTACCTGACTTTAGTCAACAAAAAGATGAATACTTCCAAGATTACAACAGAGAAGAAAAGCTGAAGAGGCATGATCTTGTGTTAAAATACACTTTCTGCATTTCCCAAATACCCTTCTTTGTTTTAAAGTCTTCATTCAAATGTTTGATTTCATCTATTACAAATTCTGCAACTAACAAGTTTACAGAAATAGACTGTTATTTTATTAGAAAATAATACTTTAGTGCTGAACTAGTGACACCAATATGTTCAAAATCTCCAGTGTAAGTGATCTCAATTACAAAGTGTATACAATACATGTTAATTTTCCTACTTCCCATCTGCTGCAGTGACTCTTCTGCTCCTCCTCTAGCTGAGCAACAGAAAACATAGCACTCATCCCATCCCTTCCAAGACTGCCATTTTCCCCACTCCTTGTGAATTTAACTTTCAAAAACTCCTTGTAGCTAACTTTCTTCTAGCAAGAACACCTTACATCTCGCATCTTCTTTCTGTTTACTACCCACCAGCAGACATTTCCCCAGTGAGTATA